ATATATATATATATATATATATATATATATATATATATATATATATATATATATAAATATATAAGGGGTGTCAAAATTAATTGTTTCTTTGGTGCACCGCGATGCATACGCGGACAATTCATTATCGGTTCAGTAATAATCATAACCGGTTATTATGTACTGACGTCATTTATCTCCTATGCTCTCTGTCGCGAGGGGGGTGAGCGCGAGTATTTACAACACTCAGGAGCCAACACAGGGCCGGTCCGTGGCATAGGCACCATAGGCAAATGCTAAGGGCGCTGTATATCCAGGAGGGCCTCAGAAAGAAGAATGGTTCAGTTCGTTTTGTTTTCGATATTCTTGACACACATTCAGTTACAGACGGCAATAACTCAAAAACCTCTTACCCTAAAAAGATCTAAAGTGTGTTTCCTACAGAAAGACAAAGCTGGTTATGTTTCACAGCTGTCTTTCTTTTCTTTCGCTCCACACTACGAGCACTGCTCCGTTTAAGCCCTCGCAATATGTGTATAGCCGGGATAGCTCGCGCTGAGAGGGGCTCTCAGCAAGGGACCGTCGGAAAAGTGCTTCTTTTTTTCTTTTTTTTTTTTTCCGTTTTCTGCTCTGCTCTTCGCGAGCTCTCCCTGTTGCGAGGGCTTAAGTGTGTGTGCGTGTGTGTGTTTGTTCCTTTGGTGCTGTCTATGTTTGTGTTTGAATGAGAGACAGTGTGGTGCTGTGTCTCTGTGTGTTTATACAGACAGCTTGTTATAGCCTCTCCTCTAAAATATAACACTGTATATGGAAAGCGTCGTCAATGCACCGTGATGCACCGAAATATCGAATTGAACCGAATCGAAGGCATGATAATCGTAACCGAACCGAACCGTAGTATAGGTTCACACCTCTAACATATATATATATATATATATATATATATATATATAATTTGTTTTGTTGTTTTGCTTTGCATCGCACCTCCTGCGATGTGACTATTGCGGATGCACACATCGCGATTTCGATGCTGAAACGATTAGAACTACACTCTTCCAGCAGTTCCTCGCATCCAATATCTATCTCGTTTGTCATCGGGAAATGCATGAAATGTTCCAGAATCAAAGTGAAAGTGCCAAACTGCAGTTAAAGTCGACAAATTCATAATTTGACAAATAATTTGATGACTGATGCCCATGTAAACACAGTCATTGTCTTTCTCCCCTGCGTCTGTGTGTTTGTTTTGCCTCTGTGAAAATCAGCGCATGCCCAAACGGAAACTCCCATTTATATGCTTTCCCTCCCCCGACACTCCCACCTGAAAAGAGCTGGATACACCCACTTTCCTGACTTTTTTTCAAACTAGAGGTGTTTCAAGGCCCTTAAAATAGTGTTAGCAAACTTTTATTTTATTTCTGACCGCTAGATGCAAGAACAACAAAGTTATTTAACATTCACAATAAGATATGTACATTTTTCATTTACTAATTCAAAATAAACAGTTCAAAAAAAAAAAGTATAGTGTTTAAATTCAATCTAAAGATAACATCAGTTTGACTCACTCTGCATGCAGTTCTCAGGGCTGCGCAGAAGAGCTTTCTGTAATGTGGGCAGCAGCTGCTCCTTAAACTCAGCGTGAGACATGTGGCGAAGAATAGAGCCGCTCTTTTCCTGAAAACACACACTCAACATTAGCTTTATGATCTTCACAATGCTAAGAGTTTAGATTTACTCATTCAGCAGATGCTTTTACCTAAATCGAATTACAAATGAGGATTAAACAAGCACTTCAGTCATCAGAGCACCAGAATACAGATGCCATAACATGTCTTAAGTCAGTTTAGCAGGGTTTTTTCATTATTATTGAACAGCAATAGCATGACTCTCACCAGTATGTGCTGAAGTGGTCTGGTTTTACTCATCAGCACCGTCTTCATGTAGAGATCCAGGAGAGCTGCCTGAAGCACAATAGAGATGCCATGGTTAACGCTAAGTAAAACTATAAAAATAATGTTTCTGTACACGGTCATGTAGTGAGTCATCTTAATTAACTACATGCACTTAAGGCTGATTTATACTTCTACGTCAAGCGCACGCGTATGCTACGGCATTGATGCATAGCCCTTCGCCGTGGCCGTCGGCTTCGCTGACGTGCACCTCTCAAAAAATGTAACTACACGTCGCAACGACGCATAGCGCAAGCTCTGTGATTGGTCGGCTTGGTAGCGCTGACGAGTCTGGGCGGGACCGAGAGCCGCGTGAATGGTGCGAGCCCGATGGAGCGATTGTTTCCAAGTGTGGAGTCCCGCGAATGAGCTCCGGATGGAAAGTTTTGTTTTGTGTTTACCTCATAGTTAAAGTTGTTGCACGTCCGCCGGTTCCTGCCTCAAAATGAGCAAGTTTGAGCCACTTGTACATCCTGGAAGCGTTCAGAAAGAACAAAACACAGGCGAAGAAACTCGACACAGAGGAGCATTAACACCTCACTGCCAACTAGCGTTTTGGAAGTGTTAATGCAGACCAACAGAGACAGCGCGCAGAAGTATAAATGCACAGCCACGCGCGTTGCATGCACCGTGGGTTACGTCGGTCACTTGACGCAGAAGTATAAACCAGGCTTTAGGGGTAGAATTGGGATTGGGCCTTAGTATATGTTTAGGGTTAGGCTGAGGGTTATGTTTGGGGTTAGTTGCATGCAATTATGCATAATATAACTATAGCAAAATGCACAGCCCACGTGTAACGACGATAAAGTGCTAGCTGTTTCGGTCAACCAATAAAATAATTTTTAAATTACAATCATAGTGAAAAAATTTGTATTAATGACTAATTTCTTACAATTACGCACAGAAATTAAAATGATAACCTTAATAAAATATCAACATTACTAATAAAAGCCTTCATACATTTGTTAAATTTTTTTGTAACTAGACTAAAATGACATAACATTTCCAAAACAAAAGAAAAATCAGCTAGTTGTCAAGAAATCTTTTATTCACATTTAGTTAAGTGTACTAAAATAACTCAAATTAAAATAATACGAAAAAACATCAACCCCAAAACTCTATTTTTTAACCCAAAAACACTGACAAAAACTGAATAATAATTATTTTATAATTATGAACTATTTCAATCTTTTAACAAACTTCTACAGCATCTCAATGACACACACACACACACACACACACAAACATCAATAAAGCAGCAGAGTTGTCAACAGATTTCTCACCTTGTGTTTGTTGACAGTGGCGATGTCTTTCTGTGCTGTGCAGAAATCAACACACAACCCCAGCAGAGGAACAAACACACAACTCTGATCCAGACTCAACACAGTGCTCATGTACTGATCCACCAGACCCGGGTGCTGTGCAAACACACACACACACACTTCATATAACACTGAAGAGCACACATTATACACTTATCGGTGAAGATTATTTCACCTGAGCAACTCTTACATTAGCAGACAGATGTACAGCTATCGAGAAAATCAATACCGCTAGAAAATTCTCTGTTTTTCTGGATTTATGAAGTTTTGTAACGTTTGCTTTATTCTGTAAACTACTGCTGATGGTTCTTCCTGCACTGTTAAAAAAAAGCTGACCCAACTTTAAATTGTAATGCAACTTGCTGAAAAGTATTTTTAGTTGTCTCAATTTAAAAATTGCATTAAAGGCAGTACTAAAGTTGAGTCAACTCAAACAAAGCTGTGCAGCACGTTGCCTTACAATTTTAAGTTGAGTCTACTACATGAAAAGATGATGCAAAAAAATAAGTTCTACATTTTTGAAATATAAAAGTGACTTTTTTTCTATTCTATCATAATATTTGAGTTCTTCTCTGTTTTCCTCTGAACAGCACAACACATCAGACTGAATGAGCTCAGCTTCACCTCCTTCCACAGCTTGTTGAAGTGTTTGTTGATTGACTTGAGAGCGTTCCCTGAGGCTCCGCCTACTGCCTCTGCCAGCAGCAAACTCTGAACCTCCACCTGATTGGAGGAGACAGAAAGGAAGAACATGATGGGATGGACCGCAGGTAAAGCTCATAAACAACAAAAAAGCAGATATCACTGGCTAAACCAAACCCTCGACTGACAATCTAGGCATGAGAAGATTCCCAGATTTGCTCTGTACATTGGTTAAAAAATAAATAAATAAATAATGTGACGCATCGGTTTAAAAAAAGTGCATTGGACACAAGTTGGTATTTAAATTGCGATGCATCATTCCTAACATACACTCACCGGCCACTTTATTAGGTACACCTGTCCAACTGCCAGTTAACGCAATTATCTAATCAGCCAATCACATGGCAGCAACTCAATGCATTTAGGCATGTAGACATGGTCAAGACAATCTGCTGCAGATCAAACCGAGCATCAAAATGGGGAAGAAAGGTGATTTAGGTGACTTTAAACGTGCCATGGTTGTTGGTGCCAGACGGGCTGGTCTGAGTATTTCAGAAACTGCTGATCTACTGGGATTTTCACGCACAGCCATCTCTAGGGTTTACAGAGAATGGTCTGAAAAAGAGGAAATATCCAGTGAGCGGCAGTTCTGTGGGTGCAAATGTCTTGTTGATGCCAGAGGAGAATGGCCAGACTGGTTCTAGCTAATAGAAAGGCAACAGTAACTCAAATAAGCACTCGTTACAACTGAGGTCTGCAGAAGAGCATCTTTAAAAGCACAACACGTCCAACCTTGAGGCGGATGGGCTACAGCAGCAGAAGACCACACCGGGTGTCACTCCTGTCAGCTAAGAGAAGGAAACTTAGGCTACAATTCACACAGGCTCACCAAAACTGGACAATAGAAGATTTGAGAAACGTTGCCTGGTCTGATGAGTCTCGATCTCTACTGCCACATTTGGATGCTAGGTGTCAACAACATGAAAGCATGGATCCATCCTGCCTTTTATCAACTGTTCAGGCTTGTGGTAATGGTGTAATGTTGTGGAGGATATTTTCTTGACACACTTTGGGCCCATTAGTACCAATTGAGCATCGTGTCATCCTACCTGAGTATTGTTGCTGACCATGTCCATCCCTTTATGACCACAGTGTCTCCACCTCTGATAACTACTTCCAGCAGGATAACACACCATGTCATAAAGCGTGAATCATCTCAGACTGGTTTCTTGAACATGACAAATAGTTTACTGTACTCAAATGGCCTCCACAATCACCAGATCTCAATCCAATAGAGCACCTTGATATGTGGTGGAACCAGATATTGGCATTATGGATGTGCAGCCGACAAATCTGCAGCAACTGTGCAATGCTATCATGCCAATATGGAGCAAAATCTCTCAGGAATATTTCCAGCACCTTGTTAAATCTAATCCATGAAGGATTAAGACAGTTCTAAAGGGAAAAGGGGGTCCAACCTGGTACTAGCAAGATGTAACTGCTTCATGTATAGCTGCTTCATCTAAATCTTGATGTTTCGTATTGTTGTGCATATATTATATCGTTGGCTGTGCATTGAGATGTGTATCGTATCGCCTTAGTTTTGAGATGCACATCCCTAAAACAAAGTAATGCAATAGTCTATGTGATCACTCAAAAGCACTGACCAGTTTCTTCCAGTTGGCACCTTCTCTCTTGTCTGCGGTAGGAAAGACGAAGCGGACGATCAGACAGGTCCAGGGCAGAGCGCAGCACGCTCCAGACGCCGAACTCTTCCTGCACACAATTCATGACAATCCATTTACAACTGCATGATTTACCACAACACAACCAGTGCTCATTTCAATCAGCAAATTTAAATATACGTCTTTCAGATTTGCTTTAAATTGTTTACATTGTCTCTTTTTTAATATGTAATTACTATTAAAAGGACTCATGAAATTAAAATAAAGTTCTTGAGATGTAACTATCAGTATGTTAAATTTTAGGATATCTATAAGCTAAAGCGCTACAAATCAGTAACAAAATTAGCATGTAAAAGATTTAAAACTAATGTAAACATACAAAGTTTGTAGTTTGTCACTTCTATCTAAATGGATAACTGATTTTTTTCACGTCACCTCATACTCTAGTTTCTCATCAAATCTTCAAGACGCTTCACATTTGATGTGCTTGAGCTCAACCACTCACACTGGCAGCGCTATGATAAAACAAAATGCTATAGGCTGTTTTTTTTTTTAAGGGAGGAGCTACTCTGTGTCCCGCCCTCGCTTCGTTTTTTAGTTTAGATTATGTCAAACATTGAATAAAAACGCATATTTCAAAATGTCAATAATTTTTAAATACCGCTCAGCTGTAATGATACGAGACATTAGCTGGCATCTGTAGGCTGAGAGCGGTCACTCACCCGGGCATCGCTCCTCTACTGACCACACCGCAGCTGAGCAGACCTGAAGGCAGATTACTGGCCACCACATCAGGCTGAGACTGAACCAGCACCTCGATGACGGACAGTAATGCTCGCCGAGACGCAGCATCCCTGAGGAGAGAGAGAGAGAAACACAGCAACATCTGCTTTAACAGGCGTTTCTTGTTATTTTTAAATAAATGTAAACAATTACTTTGCATAATTATTTTGCGTGTGTGTTATATGAGCAATATCACACGAGTAGCATTGCGATATGGCTGTATATCCGCAGGTGGGCCGAGTGCCTTAGTGCCCCACCAGTGCCGAAATACAGCCATATCGCACAGCTACTCGTGTGATATTGCGTTTATACAACAGTTTGACGGCATAATTATGTATATAAAAACAAAATCAAACATGGAGAGTCTCAAAAACCCTTTTCTATAAGGAACTACTTTCTTCCGCGTTGGATTCAAATCATAAGCTGACAGGTAAACAGCTGAGCAAGCATCTTTTAAACTTTAGATCTGTAGTGTTTGCTTTTTGCTGGCTGTATGTGGGCGGAGTAATACACAAAGGGTAAAGAGGCTGTAGGAGTTCTGATATTGCAGAATATCGCTCGGCTATCAGCCAATCACATTTGAGAACCAGACAGAACTGTTGTATAAATAAATATATATGGTTGAAGTCAAAATGATTTCCCCCTTTTCAATTATTTCCCAAATGATGTTTAACAGTTTCATGAATTTTTCACAGTATCTCCATTAACATATTTTCTTTGGAGAAAGTCTAATTTATTTTATTTTGGCTAGAATAAAAGCAGTTTTTATTTGTTTTAAAGCCATTTTAAGGTCAATAATATTAGCCCCCTAAGCAATATTTGTTTTCAAGTCTACAGAACAAACCACTGTTAAACAATGACTTGCCTAATTACTCCAACCTGCCTAGTTAACCTAGTTAAGCCTTTAAATGTCACTTTAAGCTGTATAGAAGTGTCTTGAAAATATCTAGTCAAATATTATTTACTGTCATCATAACAAAGATAAAAGAAACCAGTTTTTAGAAATGAGTTATTAAAACTATTATGTTTAGAAATGTGTTTAAAAAATCTTCTTTCTGTTCTTTTCCACCTTTCAAAAATCCATGACCTGTGGAAATCGTTGTATAGCACTTTGAAACAACTTAAATTGTGTTTAAATGTGCTTTATAAATGAATGTTGTGAATTTTAATGAGAAGAAACACACACACACACACTTACCTGTATCTGTGCAGCGTGAGATAGAAGAGTCTGCACAGTCCTTTGATGGCCGGCTCTGGAAGCTCTGAACAAACAATACAACACAAATAATTCAAATTACATACTTATTTCACCGAATACATTTGGATTTGTTTCTCAAGAACAGCTCAAATACAGCACTGTTCACAAGTTAGGCGAAGCAATGTTATTCTTTATTATAATGTCGTCTATATATGTTTCTTAAGCATCAAACAGGCATATTAAAATGATTTCTGAAAGATCATGTGAGACTGAAGACTGGAGTAATGATGATTAAATAATAGATTTTTGTCACAGATATAATATATATATATATATATATATATATATATATATATATATATATATATATATATATATATATTATTTTTAAGTACATTCTAACAGAAAACAAATATTAGAAACTGTAATAAATAAATAAAAAATTTTAAAAAAGGTTAAATAGTACTGATGAAATCACGGTTGTATTTGTGACCATGGACCAAAAAAGCCAGCAACAAGAGTTCAATTTGTGAAACTTAGATTTAGTCATCATCTGAAAGCAGAATAAATAAGCTTTCCATTGATGTTTACTATAGAACAATAAGATATGCTATGGAATAGGACAGGATGATATTTAGCAAGGTGGTATTGAGGCTCATTGGTTAATCGCCTCATAGCAAGAAAGTCATTGAATTGAGTCCTAGCTGAACCAGTTGGCATTTTTGTGTGGAGTTTGCATTTTCTCTCCGTGTTGGCGTGGGTTTCCTCTGGGTGCTCTAGTTTCCCTGACAGTCCAAACACATGCGCTATAGGGGAATTGGATGAACTGAATTGGCCGTAGTCTATGAGTGTGAATGTGAGTGTGTATGAGTGTTTCCCAGTACTTGGCTGCGGCTGGAAGAGTATCCGCTGTGTAAAGCATATGTCATAGCATATAATATAAAATAAACATATAATAGCCGGCGGTTCATTCTGCTGTGGCGACCACTGTTAAATTAGAGACTAAGCCGAAGGGAAATTAAAGAATATTTAGCAAAGCTGCATCTGATCTAATTACTGAATGAATCACCTTCAAATTTGTCTAAACGAAGCACTTAGCAATGCGCATTAATCATTTAAAACTTGTTGATCTATTTAGAGTAGGACATGTACAAGAAACAACTCAGGGTTCTTGCACTATTTTAAAAGTAAAAATTAATGTTTTTTAAGACCTTTTTAAGACCTCAACAAATATAATTTAAGACCCAAATATTATATCATTTCTTTGGAATAGGCTACTCATTTTAATGTTTTCGTTAGATTAAAATAAATTGTGCCTCGTCACAGTATGGATAACCCGCAAATAACCTGCCTTTTGGGTGTCTGGTGGTGAAATGAAACCGTTATAGCTGACTGTGAGGGGGCGTGTGAACTAGAGCTGTAATCAGGCTATGAAAGGTAGGCCCGATAGAGCCCGAACCCGACAGGTACATTTTGATTGACAGCTTTTTAAAAGCCCGAACCCGTTTATAGCCCGACATTATCCAAATGTGTACATGCACACAGCTCTTTTGTCTTTTTTCATGAATGAGTTGTTTATATGCGTTAACATTACTTATCCATAACATAGGCTACAGGCCAAGTTGGAAAAAACAAAATAAAATAAGCCCCCTGTAACATCTTAACATCTCAACACTCTAAATAGGCCTGGTATATACACTTAACGTTTAAATTGGCCAACACACCAATAAAAATAAGTATTTCTTAGCAAATGATAGGGGTGTCAAAATTAATTGTTTCTTCGGTGCACCGTGATGCAGACGCGGACAATTCGGTATCGATTCAGTAATAACCATAACCGGTTATTATGTCGTGACGTCATTTATCTCCTATGCGCTCTGTCGCGAGGGAGGTGAGCGCCGTTATTTACAACACTCAGCCAACTCAGGGCCGGCCCGTGGCATAGGCACCATGGCAAATGCTAAGGGCGCTGTACATCCAGTGGGGCGCCAGAAATGAGCGCGCTTCTGTTGCTTTTGTTTTCGATTTTCCTGACACACTTTCAGTTATAGACGGCAATAACTCAAAAACCTCTTACCCTAAAAAGATCTAAAGTGTGTTTTCTACAGAAAGACAAAGCTGGTTATGTTTCACAGCTGTCTTTCTTTTTTTCACTCGACATTACGAGCACTGCTCCGTTTAAGCCCTCGTAGTCTGCGTTTACTTTAGCCGGCAGAGCTCGCGCTGAGAGGAGCTCTCTGTAAGGGACCGTCGCAAAAGTGCTTATTTTTTTTTTGTTTTTTTCGTTTTTCTGCTCCGCTTAGCGCGAGCTCTCCCTGATGCAAGGGCTTAAGTGTGTGTGTTTGTTTGATGCTGTCTATGTTTGTGAATGTGTTTGAATGAGAGACAGTGTGGTGCTGTGTGTCTGTGTGTTTAAACAGACAGCTTGTTATAGCCTCCCCCCTAAAATATAACACTGTATATGGAAAGCACCGTCAATGCACCGTGATGCACCGAGATATTGAATTGAACCGAATCGATGGCATGATAATCGTAACCGAACCGAACCGTGAGACCAGTATAGGTTCACACCTCTAGCAAATGAATTAAAATAAATGATAAATGATGACGGATTTTTGGCAATAACGAAATTAAGATAAAGGCTCAGTGGGATTTGTTTTGCCACTTCACTTCACAATAAGGCGATGGTGAAGCTGAATAATAAAAGAATAATGCCAGCATTAGCCTGTACACTCTGCATACATTATGATTTTATTAATATTTAGTTATAATTTGAAATTCTTTACTCATCAAGATTAGGTTATGTGTTTTGTGGGGGAACATTATTGAATCCACTGTAAATGGCTTTAGTGCAGTCCTTCGCTCACTGAGCAGCACTGAACACCTTTTCTCTGCTGCTGCTACTGGCCGGGATACACTTTGTCATTTGTCATTTTGACCCACATAATGCATTTCACCTCATATTATTCAAACTTAAATCATTGTGCCTTACCAGATAAAATATTATTTATTCAAAATAGCTTTTGTGGTTCTGAACCACATTTATTAAACCAATACATAAAGCTTTGGTTATCAAAAGAGACTGTTTTTCACAACTAACTAATGCAAACAAATATCCATCTTTTTTTATCTGACACAACACACCAGCAACAGGTAAACTCACCCTTTCCCTTCACACATTCCTTCAGTTCTCCAAGAATTTCTTTGCGCTCTTTAACACTGGATGACGTGACTTTCACAGCGAATCTCTTCAGTGTGTCTGAAACCTGTCCCTACAAAGACACACACACACAACCTCAGATGACCACTAACACGATACGCTTTCAGAGAGACTAGCAACCAAACAAAGACATATAAATCCCATATATTCATACCACATTGGAGCTTTTTAGATTTGTACCCACGTTTAATTATGTTTTTTAATCACAGCACATTTACATTTAGTCTCTGATAGGCTTAAGATGATAAAAGGTTTCAAGGTTTACCCCGTTTTGGAAAGTCAAGATATTAAAACCGCCAAAAATTTATGATGTACCGTTCCTAAAGTTTATGTTGAGTTTTTTTTAAGTGTTTCCCATTGTGTTGTAAGGAAATCTGTGTTTTTGAAACTAATGAAGACAGTACTGTAGAAGTCAGTGATTTATCTCAATTATTTAGCCTGACATTTTTACTGTTTAATAATATGCTGAAATAAAATATATCGTTTAATGTCAAGTCAAGTTTTATTTGTCACATACATAGTTATACAAAGTATGACCAGCAGTGAAATGTAGGTCAGGTCCGCTCCAGAGATAGTGCAAGTATAGATAAACAAAAAATTAAATATTAAGGAAAAAAAAGAAAAAGAAAAAAACGTGCAAAAAAAAAAGGTGTGCAAAAAATTATACAAGGTAATAAGAATAGCTTCTTTTAATGGGTAAAAGAAGTTTTTTTTTTTTTTACTAAGACATTTTAAAAGAATATATTTTAGAGCAGTAATCACAATAATGTGATACCGTGAAACCGTGATATTTTTATCCAAGCTTATCATACTGTCAGAAACTTATACCGGCCCATGCCTAGTCTCTGAGCAGATGCTTTTGTCCAAAGCTACTTACAATTGAGATAGAGGTAAAGTGGGTTTTACATTCGCACATTCAGTCTTTCTCATAAATAATATGATCTCAGAAAAGTATTAATTGGAAATTCTAAATAGTAAAATCATATTAGCAGCCAACAATCAAAGTACAGCATTGTTCACAGTCGATTGAAGAGTGCTAATGTTGTTTTGAAGTCATACGCTGCAAAAAAATGCTTTTCTTGTTTCGATTTTTGTCTTGTTTCTAGTCTAAATATCTAAAATTTCTTATATCAAGAAGAATTTTCTACACA